ACTTCTAAATCTGTTTTCATTTTTATAAAATGCACTTCCTTCATGAACTTCTATGACAGCAGGCACCATACACTCATCTTCATAGCCCTGATATTTCATACGACGCCTTGACATAGCAAGTACTCAAAAAGATATTTGACGGACACCTAAATAAACAGGTGAATGAAGGGTTAACAATAAATCTGGAAGGTTTCCTAAACGAGAATTTAAAACTTATGGTTCAGGGTAAGGTTAACAGAAATGGCAGGGTAAGGACTCCAAAAAGTGCCTCTCTAAAAATCAATGAAAAATCTGATAAAATTTGTCAATATCAACTTTTTTCAGGACTTTAGGAATTAACCAAAGGCTTGCAGCAGTGCAGGGAGTGTTTATCCAAGAAAAACGGCTAAATCTTCGTAAGAAGAACAAACTTAATGACACCTTAACTTGCCCTATTCCCATCCCTCTCTCCGTAGCTCCACGGTAGCCTTGAAAACCAATAGCCTACAATCACCTTGCAAACCAGCAGCTCAGCAGTTACCAGACGGGGACAGAGTAAGATTGGAACTCCTTCGAGACCTCATTCCTAGAGAATTCTCATTATTTGAGCTGTCTGGCTTATAAGACTGAGAGTCTCACTTATAAGACTATCTTTATCTGATCTGACTTGGAACTCACACAGTGGAAAAAGTCTTTCCCCCAGGGGTTTTGGTTGGGAACCTTTAAGGATAATTAACTTTGCAGAGGCAATAGATAACAGCTTGGACAAGCAACAGGCAAACTAAAAAGATTAAAATGAAGAGCTAGGGAATGAGCTGTCCTAGGGGCTTTAAAAGGTCCAATGTATTCCTGGGAATATAAAAATGCATGTAATTGTGTAGGACTGCACCAATGCCCAGGGCCTCATTCAGGCTCAGGAAAGACCTGAGAAGGCTCTAAGGTCTGACCTATGGCTGACCTTGAGGTTCCACGCAAGTGGGAAGTGAAAGTTAAGGCAGTGTTACCAACTGCCTAGTTGAGTATTGAAGGCATGCTCCAACATGCAAACAAAATCCCAAACATGCAAACATGGAGGTCTTATTCGTGCTTAGTGTAAAGAAATCTTTGTCCAACAATTAGCTGAACACTAACCTAACCAAGCAGAAACATATGTAGAAACATATGATAGTAATACAAAATACAATATAATCATACAAAATTTCTGGAATTAGTTCATGAAAGTCAATAAACAAATACACAAACAAGGCTATGACAAGAAGCAACAGCAATAAACCCTGAGGAAACAGGAGAATCTGATTTCCAGTGTTGCCACATTGTATTATTTAAAATGTCCAGTTATCAAAACAAAATGTAAGACATGCAATGGGAAATGTGCAATAATACATGGAACAAGAAAACATAGACCATACATAGGGGGAAAAAAACAATCAGTAGAAACTATCCCTGAAAAAACTCAGATGTTAGACTTACTTAAAAAAAAAGTGGGGGGGGTTGGGTGGCTCAGTGGGTTAACCCATTGTCTTCAGCTCAGCTCAGCGTCCTGGGATTGAGCCCCACATCAGGCTCCCTGCTCAGCAGGGAGCCTGCTTCCCTTTCTCTCTCTCTGCCTGCCTCTCTGCTTACTTGTGATTTCTGTCAAATAAAGAAATAAAATCTTTAAAAAAAGACTTTAAATAAGAGATTTTAAATATAGTCAAAGACTTTAAGAAAAATTGTGTTTAAAGAACAAAATAAAGAATACTGATAAAGAGATATAAATTATACATAATAAAGAGGAGGACAGAGAAACTTGAAATAGTGAATAGAAAAGTGATACCAAAAAAGAACATCCAAAAGAACAAACCAAAAGCTAAATCTTTTGAAAACGAAACTGACAATCCTTTAGCTATACTGACCAAGAAAAAAGAGAAGCCTTAAAATCAAGGCTGAGGGAGATGCTTTTCTAGTGATTTTCCAGAAATAAAAAAGATTGTGGGCAGTAAGATGAAGTTATATGTAACAAGTAAAATAATCTAGATGAAATGGACAAATTCCTTAAAAAGACACAAACTACAAAACTGACCAAGGAAAAACTGATAGTGTTACTAAATGTGAAACAATACAGATAAGGTTAGCATGGCCCCTGCATAAGGATGACATGGAAATTTGTGCAGTGTCCCTATTTTTCTGTGTCTGTAATGTACAGCAATAGTGGCCAGTTAACAACACTGTATTATGCATTTGAAAGTTGATAAGAAAGTAGATCTTAAAAGTTTGCATCATAAGAAAAAAAATTATAACTTTGTGATAATGGATGTTGATTGTGGTGATCACTTCATAGTATATGCATATATCAAGTCACTATATTCTGGGTGCCTGGGTGGCTCAGTGGGTTAAGCCTCTGCCTTTGGCTCAGGTCATGATCTCAGGGTCCTGGATCGAGCCCCGTATTGGGCTCTCTGCTCAGCAGGGAACCTGCTTCCCCGTCTTTCTCTCTGCCTGTCTCTCTGCCTACTTGTGATCTTTCTGTCAAATAAATAAATAAAATATTTTTTAAAAATCACTATATTGTACACCTAAAATTAATACAATGTTATGTGTCAGTTATATTTCAATAAAAAAGAAGAAATATATAGCCTAAATAGACTTGTAACAAGTAGAGTGATTAAATTAATCAAAAATTTCTCACAAAGAAAATCTCAGCACCAGATAACTTCACTGGTAAAGCTATCAAAAAGTTAAAGAATAATTAGCATCAATCCTTCAAAACTCTTCCAAAACATATGAGGAGTGAATACTTCTGAAGTCATTCTAGAAAGCCAGAATTTTCCTGAGACCCAACCCAGACAAACACAAGAAAAGAAAACCACAGATCAATATCCCTTATTAAAATAGATGTAAAATTCCTAAAATTCCTTAATAAGACGCTAGCAAAATGAATCTGGCAACAAAAAAATGATATATGCTATATGGATATAAATACCTATATGTAACATGGATATTTTATTTCCATAAAAAATTGTATGTATTATACCACATGACTAAGTAGGATTTTTCCCAGGAATGCAAGGGAGATTCAACATGTGAAAATCAATTAATGTATAACATCATAAAAAAAAACTTCATACTAAGTGAAAAAAAGCCAGACACAAAGGACCAGTGATTCAATAGCAGCTTTTACTCTGAGACTTATAAGAAAGTTGAGCAATACACCTGGGATGGGCTGTAGTAGTGAGTGAAGAGGCCATAGAGATGTGGAGAGGTATCCAAGTCACTAAGGACATCTCTAAGAAAGAAATGATCTTGCAGTGGTGAATATAAGAATGGAGAACTGCTATACTGAGTCAGATTCTTGTTCCATGAACTCTAATGTCCTTTCTCTGACAGGATCCTTTGTATGGGTGCATGGATATCTTCCTTAGTATCAACCTCCAAAGAGTGAGTGGTTTCCTCTATCATCTAAATTCCTGAGCTCTACTACATCTTTTACAGGAATTGATCTGAATTGCTTCCAAATAAAAACAGCAAAGAACATTTGATATTTTATGTAAATTGTTTTCAATTTTGCATGAGTCTTAAAAACCGAAAGCATACACACACATATATATATGTATGCTTTCAGTTTATATATATATATATATATATATGTATATATATATATATAATACACTGGTATCACTATTTGAAGGAGCATTTGTCAGTGGAAAACAATGCATTCTAAAAATAAACCAGAATGTAGAAAAAGAATAAAGGGTTTGTCTTTCTCCATTGAACTGTGTTCAAGAGTTCAAGATTCAAGTATTATAGACATTTAGACGAATATAATACTTCTGTTGTAGCCTTTGGGTCAGACAGGCTCCCCACATTATCTCCACCATTCCGTAACTACTTCATGATTTCCTAAAGACCAGGATTTTGGAGAACCCTATTTGATGAGAGGACTCTAGTAAGGAAATGGTGAAGTTGGAAATGTGACAGTCAAGGACACATTCCCTTTTACTGTTTGTAGACATACAGGCCTGTGTATTTCCATAACTTTGTAGAGGTAAGCTCCATAAAGGCAAGTAGTCTTCTCTTTTACTCACTAATGTGTCTCCAGAATCTAACATGTTACATGGTTTATACTTAGTGATTCTAATCCTCACTATTTCTATATGACTTAAGGCTCAGAGACAGTATGGCGTAGATAGTCAATGTTGAACAAGACAATTTGCTTTCTGGTTTGATTCAATAAGAAGCAGTAGAAAATAAAGAAAAAAATTTCAAATAAAATATTTTCAGCAATCATGAAGCAGGGGATTGCTGTTAATTTATATCCTACCTTTTGTAGGATATAATATACCTATTATATTGTTTTCTTCCAAATCATTTATCATTCTTTTTATATCAGAATATATAATTTGACATAGTAAGGTTTTTTAAAAAGATACTACTTCCCAACAGGTCAAATTATGCGTAAAATAAACAAGTAGTTGAGTGCAAGTAGCTTGAATAAGCATCCAAGCTTATTTCTGCTTTTTAAAACAGATGACAATTGAAGAGTACAAATCTGAACTAAAAAACACAAGGTGGCAATCCCCACTTAACTGTTCTAACCCCCCAAAGCTCTAACTTTTAAAACAATTCCTTTGGTGACAAAACCTTAAACATCTGTGTTATGTAATATATGCACTGTATTACTTTTTACAAAATCTAGAAAATCCTGAATTCCAAAAATAACTGAGGGGCCACGAGATTTGAAGAAAAAGGCTTTGTCTATACATATACAGTAGAGAAATTGGGCAAATCACAATCTCTCTAGCACTTATTTCATGATTTGGAAAGTAAGGGAGTTAGACTAGATGCCCTCTAAAATAACCTGGACAGTAATTAAATTCTAGGAACCTACCTGATCAATTTATACCCTGAAACACACAACTTGTGTTCAATTTTGGATTACGTTCAATTTCTATAAAATTCTGGGCCTTTAGCTGTACCCAAAACATGTGATAAGCACACATTAGATATCTCTTTAACCAGGTCAGTTCATTCAGGTTTAGTACCTGCTGTGCCAAACACAGAAGATATGCCTTCCAGAATGGTCTCGTGGACAGTGGGATGAGAGAGGACAAATGCAAGTGTCCAAAATGCAACCTTAAAAAAAAACAAAACAAAACAGAAAACATGTATCACACAATACAACCTCCTTTGAAAGTGAATAAAAGCATGCTTAATATTCGCCATAAACATTAGAAGAAACCAGGAAAATGTTTAAATTAAACTTAAAAGTATGTTAGTAAGGAGCATTTTGGGAAACAACTAGATTTTTTAAACAAGAGAGTTGTTATAGACTTCTGAGAGGTCAAATCTATACTTCCATTTTGTCACTATAGTTTAACTCTGTTGTTTTTACAGATTAAACTATCTTACTACAAAATGAGGCAGGATTCTTTTTTAGTAATACACATTATAAAATATTATATATGCATACATTAAATATTCAGAAACAGCAAATTATGACACTTAAAATGTTAATCCCAATGAAAATATTTTTTAAAATTTAATTTCCATGAAATAGATATGAATGAGAAAATCCTATGTTCTGCAAAAAAAAAAAAAAAATGGTAATTTTCAATAAGCCCAGAAAAATATACCTCAAATCCCATAAATTATGAGAGTACTCAATATGAAACATAATGGTCCTTTCCCCAGCTGAATGTTACTGAATGTATCATGCTTGCAAATTCTCTCTAGACCAAAGAAGATTATTTCACATCTTTCCTCATTGTGGTATTACAAGGTTAAAATTATACTGCCATATATCTCAAAAATTAACTTTCCACTAACTCAGGTAGATGTTTTTGCTTCTAATTTTAGACTACATAATAAAGGAAACTGTATAAAATTAATAAAAGAAGTTTGGGTTTCCCTTGCATCTTTTCTGTAAACATGTATTGTAAAAGAAATTTCAGCTAGGACAATCAGTCCTGAAAGACTCAGACAATATTTCACATTTAAAACACTTAAGTCTTTTTGTCTCGTTTGTGGGGCAACTTTACATAATCCCAATACTCCCCTCTGTGGCCAAAAAAGGAAGAGCAACTATCTGAAGGGAAGCGGTCAAGTAAGCCAAATTCAATACTCCTTGTGGTTTCCCGCCCTGGGGCATGAAACCAGAGGGCCCTGTAAACAGGGTACTGTGTACATAGACAAAGTGAATGGGAAATCCAAGGTCACCACCTTGCAGAGGTGAGAGCCTCTTTCTGCAGCATGATTCAGATCACGGAAGACTTACCCTAGATCTCATCCAGTCCATTTTACAATAGAAGAAACACGCTCAGAGAGCTCACTTCTGTCTCCCCGCTAGGGCCCCTGCTACCATTGTCTACGGATGGAAGTGCTGAATTACTGGATTTAATTAATAACGACTCCATACTCACTTCGTCTTATTTAAAGGGTGGAATTTGTAATGGGGGAAAAACAGCTTAGTGGATAGCACATAGATTTTCAGTTATACAAAAGAGGTGTTCAGAGTTATACCAAACAGTGCTTAGAGTTTTAGAGAGTCACAAAAATTGGGTAAAACTTATTTTATAATGAACACAAGGAATTCAACTAAATTATTCATGGCTGTACAAAGGTGCTGTTTATCATTTTTAAATTTGGTAAAAAACTCAATTACATTTAAAAAAAAGAAAAGTCACATAAAAGACAGTAATGAGTAAATAAGAAATTTGCATATATTACGGAAACAAACAAGAATAAATGACCTCGGGATCTTTGCGCACGCCCAGTTAAAGACCGCTCCCCAAAGTATCAATTAGTATTTTGCCAAAGGGTCAAGTCCATGGCAATGGCAGCTCAAAAAGGAGAAGGGCCACCTGGCTCACTGAACTTCAGAAGCAGCCACTGCAATGTTTTTGGGATAAGAATAAAGGTGGAAAGGGACAAGGAGGAAAGTCCAGCCCAGTAAGAGAACATGAAATAGGTATTCTCTTCAGCATCATTTATTGTTCCATTCAAAAGAGATTTAAAAATACTGATGGAGTCTCTATAACAGGTCAGACAGTCTTCTACAATCATGGTAAACACAAACATGTACAAGATATCATTCCTGCCCAAAGAACTTTCACGTCTAGTTGGGGATACGAAATGCAGTCAGGAGGAAAAAGAGCTAAGGGTACAGGCAATGGGTGGGACAGACAACACAGACTGTGGGAGTCGAGGGTAAGGTGGGATGGGGTGGGGGGTCATGGTCAGTACTGAAAGGGTTCAGAAAGAGCTTGGGAGAAGCAATAACAATGATAAAATGTCAGCGGTGAGATTCATTTTGGAAAAATGGTCCACAAGATTTATTGGGCAGGGATTTCTTGGAAATTGGAAATGGTTTTCCCATACAAATTGTTTCGCAAATCATGGTTGGTATTTTGGGGCCAGTCTACCAAAGTTCACCTCGACCACAATGGAGCCTTCTGGTGATCTGTCCTGTCCCCAGCCTATCTCAAGCCTGAGCTCTGAGTTCCACGCCCCTTGAGGGAGAGCCCAGAATGGGAGAGAAGAGAACCTGACCTGGGCACCAAGAAAGGACAGGCCCCACCACTTATCCCAGTGGCAGGGCTTTTGAGGGTTCTCTAGGCAGTGAGGGGAGATCACTGAAGCCAGACAGCAGTGGCCACTCCCACCCTGGGGCATTTGAGTGGTCCAGTTTTGGAAGACAGGGCAGTTTATTATTAATGCGTCACTGAAAGTAATGATTGAAACAACAGCCTTACTTTTCATAAAAGAAAGCTAACATTCATTGAGCACCTTCTTTCTTCCAGGGATTGTCAGCCACTTTCCATATCTTAAAAATATCATGTTCATGACCATCCAATGAGGTAGATTACATTCACCCTATTTTATAGATGAGAACACTGAGACTGAGAGAGGTTAAACACTTGACTCACTGTAACCCAGCACCGGGATTTGGCTTTTGGCCTGACTCTAAATAAAGCCTTTCAAGGGTTTTTGCTGCACACCAGCTGCCTCTTGGAGGTGCCACTGAGAGCCAGAAAGATGGAACTCTCACTAATTATCAGACACTCTCTTTCTGAAATTCATGATTTAAATCCTTTCAGGCTGGTGCCAGGAACCAATTCCAAAGAACTGACTTCCCCTGAGTCAGATCAATGGGGCTTTGTGTCCCCTTCTTCTGGAGGATCTCTCTAGTGAGATCTTGAAAATTAATCCAGTGACAGGAAGGGCTGTTCTGTTCTGCTTAGGGAGATGTTCTGACATTCGCTTTTTAATTTTGCTATAAGCTTAATCAGTATCCAAGAAAACGACGCAAAGAGAAATCAGGGCATGATATCAGAAGTACATAAAGGAGGGGAAAAAGGATTAGATGATTTTTATTTGCCCATGCCAGATGAAGTACGTATGGCAGAGATGGCAGAATTTCTACTTCTGCTCTTTACTCAGTTTACAACCCATGAAAAGAAACTAGACTATCAGTACTTAAAAAGCCTTCACTAAGAGGAAGGAGACATAAATTATACCTGAAATATCTCATTCCTATTTGTTAGAATAAAAAAGAAAACAGACACATTTATCATTAGAGATGGGTTGAATATTCCTGCTCAGTAGAAAACAGGTTACCCTTTAACTTCTCAAATAATATCAGAGCGTTTAGGCTAATGTGAGATCCTCCCTGATGTGCATCAGACAAGAAGGGGCAGACATATCACATGGCTTTAATCTAGTTCATAACAGCTTTAGAAAGAAACAGTTAAAAAGGTTCTGCTTTCTTTAGTACTGTGAGTTCCAATGTCACTAGCTCTATTCATGGGGAAACTTACAGGACCAAGATGCCAGGAAACACAAACAGGAATGGCGTGCAGGAGAATGGGTAGAGGGAAAGACAAAGAACTGATACTCACTGGGCATGAGCTGGGTTTATCTCACTGAATTCTCACAACCACCTTATAGAGAAAGGAGGGTTACCATTTATTAAGTACCCAAGTCCTAGGACCATACCGGTTGTATTACCCCTTTGTTACCCATAAAGAAAAGGCGGCTGAGGGTTTAAATTATCTCCATGAGATTCTATAGCTCTGGCGGGGGTTATCTTGATTCATGCCTAATTCTATCCCAGACTATCCGTTTACCTACTCTCTCCCCAATAAAATGACAGAGTTAAGACTTACTCATCTTTGCAGCGCCAATACTAAGCATGTTGCCTGACAAAGAAAGCTCTTTTTAAAAGCACCTGTTTAAAAGCAGGTGTTGTCACAACTGATCCCAAAGTGCAAGCTTTTCCCTTAGCCTGATACAAGCTTGCCTTGCAAAGGCAGAATTCACTTGATGTCTCTGCTCTGCCTCCTTTGTGATCTTATTAGATTTCATTAGGCATTCGGTTTTGTTTTTCTAGCTTACAACCAAATCCACTGTAGCCTTTTTCTTTCCCATAATAAAGTGAAAAGACAAAAACAAAAACAAAAACAAAAACAAAAAAAAAAAAAGAAGAAGAAGAAGAAGAAAAGAAAAGAAAGAATAACGAAGGGAAAAAACCGAAATTGCAGGAGACAGAAATATAACCCCTATTTTACTAATATACTTACAGGGACAGCATTGGACAGAGAAGCCCAAAGTAATAAAAGCCCATAACTGGGGCTCTCTTCTTCCTTTCTCTCCGTCTCTATGATATCCAGCATAGCCTGCATTAATGTCTGTTTAAAAGAAATACATCTTGTCAAACCACAGCTATGTGACAAAGAATGGTGTTCGTAAACATAGACCACACATTTTTCCTTAATCTCAAATACATTATTTCTGTCTTTCCTAGGTTTGCAGCTTGAAGCATGCTAAAGGGTTTATGTAGTTACTGGTAGCATAGTAATTAGGAGTAGGCACTCTAGAGCACAATTGCTTTACTGCATTGGTTCAAACCATGGCTTCGTTTTTGTTTTTGATTTTTTTTTCTTAAGTACTTTATTTTTATCACAATTTTAAGTTTACAATAAAACTGAGAAGCAAGTACAAAGAATTCCCATATAGCTCTGATCCCTACACAGGCATAGTCTTCCCTACTTATCATTATCATTCAACAAAATGGTACTTTTTTTTTTTTTTTTTAACCATGGAGCAAGGACCTTGACACATCACAATCACCTAAATCCTATAGTTTACCTTAGGTTTGACTCTTGGCATTGTAAAATCTTTAGGTTTGGACAAATGCATGGTGATATATATTTGCCATTATAATGTCATATAAATTATTTTCACTGCCCTAAAAATTCTCTGTGCTCTGCCAGTGTATCTCTCCTCCCTCCCCAACAACCACTGATCTTTTTCCTTTCTCCACATCTTGCCTTTTCCAGAATGTCATATAGTTGAAACCATACATTACATAATCTTCTTAGATTAGCCTCTTTCACTTAGTAATACACATTTATGGTTCCTTCATGTCTTTTCATGGCTTGATGGCTCATTTCTATTTAGTGCTGAATAATATTCCATTCCCTAGATGTGGCACAGTTTATCTATTTACCTACTGAAAGGCATCTTGGTGGCTTCCAAGTTTTACAGTTATGAATAAAACTACTTTAAACATCCAAATGCAGGTTTTTGTGTGGACATAAGTTTTCGAAATCATTTGGGCAAATATTAAGGAGCACAATTGCTGGATTTTATGGCAAGAGTATGCTCTGTTTTGTACGAAACCACCAAAGTGTCTTCCAAAGTGTTCGTACCATTTTGCATTCCCATCAGCAATGAAGGAGAGTTCCTGTTGCTCCATGTCCTTGCCAGTATTTGGTGTTGCCAGTGTTTCTGATTCTGGCCAGAATGAGAGTAGTGGTGTCTCAGTGTTGTTCTCATTTGGATTTCCCCCAAGACACATGATGTGTAGTATCTTTTCATATGCTTCCATCTTCTCTCATGGATTATGTTTTTGATGTTTTATCTAAATAGGCATCACCATACCTAAGGTCAACTAGGTTTTTTCCTACATTATTTTCTAGTAGTTTATAATTTTGCATTTTACACTTATATCTATGATTTGTTTGAGAGAATTTTTGTGAATTGTATTAAAGTCTCTATCTAGACTGTTCTTTTTTTATTTTTTTTTTCCTTTTGCCTGTGGATGTCCAGTTGTTCCCGCACCTTTTGTTGAAGAGTCTATCTTTGTTTCACTATATTGCCTCTGGTTCTTTGTCAAACATGTTGATTATATTTAAAAGGATCTATTTCTGGGCTCTCTATTCTGCTCCACTGATCTACTTGTCTATTCTTTCACCAATACCGCACTAGAACATTAATTACAGTAAATCTTGAAGTTGGGTAGTAGTGCTCTTTTGAAGAACTCTGTTCTTCTCCTTGAATGTTGTGTTGGCGATTCTAGGTCTTTTGCCTCTCCATATAAACTTTAGAATTAGTTTTTGATATCCATAAGATAAGTCACTGGGATTTTGATTGAGACTGCTTTGAATGTGTTGGTCAAGTTGGGAAGAACTGACATCTTGAGAATATTGAATCCTCCTATCCATGAACATAAAATAATCTACTTACTTAGTTCTTTGGTTTTGTTCATCAGGTTTTATAGCTTTCCTCATATAGAGCTTACATATCTTTAGTCAAGTTTATACCTAAAGATTTCATTTTGGGGGATACTGATGTTAATGGCATGTTTTTCTAATTTCATACTTCACTCATTCATGATTGGTACATGGGAAGGCAGTTACCTTTTGGATATTAACTTGTATTTTGCAACTTTGCTATTATTGTTTGTTAGCTTCAGTAGTTTTTTGTCTATTCTCTCGGGTTTTCTATAAATATGATCATGACATCTGTGAACAAAGGCAGTTTTATATCTGCTTTCCCAATCTATGTAACTTTTATATCCTTTTTTGGTTTACTACATAGGACTTCCAGTACTATGTTGAAAAGAAGTGGTAAAGAGGACATACTCACTGTGAAATTCTGATGCCAATTTCTAATGTGTGTGTATATGTGGAGGGGGAATTCCAAACAGCAATAAAAACACTCAGGACACTATCTAGTTGAACTCAGTTCAACTCAATTCTGACACCATCTATCCAGAAATAACATGGGGTTCTACAGGTTAAGGATTTAGTCCTCCAAGACTATATCTTTTCCCCACCTCCCACCTGTCCTTCAGGTGCCAGTCACAGCCCAGGCTATTACCTGTACTTTGGGCCAACTGGCTACAGATTGGAGGTTCTAACAACCTCGTCCTTGGAATTCAGATGCCAGCTTCAAGTCTAGTTTGTTATCCGTACTTCTGACTGATTGCTCGTATAAATCAGAGGTTCCCACAACCCTTCCTCACATTCAATTAATTTGCTTATGGGGTTCACGCAAGTCAGAGAAACATTTTATTTACTGGATTATTATTATAGAAGGATATGATAAAGGATACAGACAGACATGCAGATAACCATACATATTGATTTCATTTATATAAGCACACATTAAGTGTGTGTGTATGTGTGTGTGTGTGTGTATCTGAATATATTGTTGCTATTATAATTTTAACAAATTGTTACCTGTTAGATCAATTAAGATTAAGGAAAATAAATTTCTATTTCACCTTTACTTATTTTTTCTTTGATGCTCTTCCCTTCTTTATATAGATCTAAGTTTCTGACCTATATTATTTTTCTTCTCTCTGAAGAACTTCCTTTAATACTTCTTGTAACTCTCTCATTTTTGCTAGTCTGAAAAAGCCTTTATTTCAACTTTACTTCTAAAGGATAATTTCACAGGGTGCAGAATTCCAGATTGATGGTTTTTCTTTTTTCTCACTCTACTCTTTTAATACTTCACTCTACTCTATTTTTGTTTTGCATAGTTTCTAAGGAGAAGTCAGAAAAAATTCTTATCTTTGTTCCTCTATAGATATGGTGTTTTCCCTTATGGCTTCTTTAGGACTTTTTATCTTTGTTTTTTTAATAATTTAAAAATGATAATGTTTTTGGTGTTTACATGCTTGTTGTTCTCTGAACTTCCTGGATCTATGGTTTGGTGTCTGACATCAATTGTGGGAAAATTCTGTCATTATTGTGTCAAATACTTCTTCTGCTCCTTTCCCCCTTTCTTCTCCTTCTAGTATTCCCACTGTATGGATGCTATCCCTTTTATACTTGTCCCATACTTCCATAGTCTTTGGGTATTCTGTTCTACTTTTTTTTTTAGTCTTTGCTCTCTTTGTTTTTCAGTTCTGGGACATTCAACTGCTATATCCTCTAGAGATTCTTCCCTCAGCTCTGCCAGTCTACAAATAAGCCCATCAAAGGCATCCTTCATTTATGTTATAGTGTTTATTATATCTAGTATTTAATCAGACTTAGGATTTCCATTTCTCTGCTTATATTATCTATCTGTTCTGCCATGCTGTCTACTTTATGTATGAGAGCCCTTGACATATTAAGCATAGCTGTTTTAAAGTCCCAGTCTGATAATTTTAGTATTGGTCTGTTCAGCTTTGCGCTTGTTGTTAGGATAGAGTGGCAACTTCCAAGATCCTTATATGTGGAACCAGAATCTGGCTTCGTTAGTCAAGACCCAGATAACCTTGGACAAGTTACTTTAAGCTCTGTGTCTCGATTTCATCATCGATAAAATGGTCATAACATGGTATCTACCTCATAGAATTGTTGTGAGAATTAAACCAGTTACTACCTATAAAGCGCTTGAAACAAAACTTAGTACATATTATCATTTTGACAATTTTTAAAATAAACCTCTGCTTTTAGGAAAATGCAAGCAACACAGAAACACAGGTATCTGGAGCATTCCAGAGCAAAGCCTACCCCCATTTGCCATGAAGATTCTCAGCCTGTACACCATGGAGAAAGCACTGCCAAGCCAGGAGATAGTATAAATACTACAATATGCAGAGAAGGGATATCTGACTGGAATGGTGCCAACTAAGATCAGGGCCCCATCCAAGTCCACCTATGGTGGCTCTCAGGTCATTACACAAATTCCATGGAAGCTTTATCTTCACTGGGAGGTTTCCCAGTCACACCTTTGTTAATGGTCATTCTCCATCGTGGGGAAGAGATTCAGATACATTTGCATTAAGTTACTCACGTACTTTGAATCTTAAATAACTCAAATTCAGGTGATAAAAATAATGGCAGCTAAGGCCTAGTCATTGCTTGCTAAGGCGAGTACTGCTTTAAGGGCTTTGCAAATGTTCAACCATTCAATCCTCAGTACAATTTGAAGAAGTAGATACTGTTATCTTCACCGTTTTACATTTGAGGAAAGTGAAGCCACTTAGGGAACTCTGCCAGGACAAATAGCTTGTCGGTGGTTGAGCTGGGATTCAAATGCTGGGAGCTTGGCCCCTGCTCCAGAGCCCACATTCTTAGCTACTGTGATATACTGCCCCATGAGAGATACAGCCCACAACTCCCATGGATTAGGGATTAAGAGAACTGTATTGTACCACTACTTAGTAGTTTTGCTTCAGATCTTGGGATACATGAAATAACTGTTAAATCACAATCAAAGAAAATACACAATGAGAGACTAATACTATGACTTACAAAGGCATGTAATGTTTCCAAAGTGATTAACCACTCTAATCCTCTGTTTTCTGGTTTTAATAATCCCCAGTTTTCTGGGTATTAGAGCTGCTGTGAAAAAATGAGTCATGAATTTGTGAAATGTGTAACACTATGCCTAGCACAGAGTAAGCTCCCCATAAATGTTAGTGACGTCTTATTGTTTTTGTAACAATGGGTTAGCAAAATTGCAAATTATTTAAGTATAAATTTTATTCAGTGCTAGTTTCTATCATACAACATAAATTAAAATAACACAAAGTTTATAGCTCATGGAAAATCCTATACATGGATTTCATTCTTTGGATGCTATCCTGTAGGTGAAATCTTAATTTTAAATGAAAATACTAGTTTAATACATAGCTAGAATAACAAGGGAGAAACGACCACACTTGACGTTTATAATGTAATAGGATGTGTGTGTAATATTCCCAAAAAACAAAAACTTCTTCCAGTCTTCTGCTTAACTAGGCCATTGAAATCTACTTATACAGAAGACAACAGAATCTTTTATTTTCTTCTTAGACCACATTAAAAAAAAAATTGGGTACAGAACGCAAGCTCAGTGTGAACACTGCTGGAAAAAAACAAATTATACACACAAAAAATGAAAACTGCTCCTGAATGTTCAAACTGAGTTCTGCCTCCAAGTCTTAAACATTGGATTAGCTTCAGCAAAATGCAAAATCTGTCTTTATTCAAACAGAGAGTTAGAGTACCCATGATTAAAAATGCCTCATTTCTTCAGACTAGGAAAAAGAAATGCTGCTCTAGAAGTAATGTCAGTGGAGAGTTTTATCTGGGGCATTCAAAACCCTGTTTGCCAGGCCCACAGAGCACAGATTCATCCGGGCGCATCTTTTGTACACATGCCTCTTCACCCCTAAATCCTGGAAAATGATGCAAACAAAATGTGTTGGGTCTGTTTGTAAAGTAGAATCCTTAGCTAAAACACTGTTTATCAGTGTGGGGCATTCCAAAATAGCTTTCTATTCCCTTTATTCTGGTGGGAGATAACTAAATATTCATACATCGCTTTTTTTTCTGAAGTGATCTTCCCTTCTAGTGTTAGGCAGAGTTGCTTGTGGTAACACTTGCTGTAATAATGAAAGGCAAGCAAGTAAAAACACTTGGTATCATCTATAAGAAAGAAAAGGTCTGATTTGGGGGGCACCTGGGTGGCTCACTAGGTTAAATGTCTGCCTTTGGCTCAGATAATGATCTCCTGGTCCTGGGATTGAGCCCCATATCAGGCCCCCTGTTCAGTGGGGAGTCTGCTTCTCCCTCTCCCTCTGCCCCTCCCTCCTGCTTGTATGCATGTGCATGCTCCCTCCCTCTCAAATTAATAAGTAAAAATCTTCAAAAAAATAAAATAAAAGGTCTAATTTTTAATGATAAACACATGGTCTGAACTCTTATGTAGTCCTCACTACTCTCCAACTTCTTCACAAATATTAATTCACTTAATCCCCACATTCTATGAGCTAGGTGTAGAAACTGAGCCAAGAGACAAGATGCTATGCCCAAGGTCATGAGACTGGTGACTGAACTGCAGCCCATGTTCAGACAAAGTGAATCCCAGTCGCTGAAGGGGAGGGTGGTCTGGAGAATCAAGTCATTTCCAAAAGCTCCCCGAGATTCTGATGAGCAGGCAGGGTTGAGAACTTGTCATTACACAAGCATCAGAAACACCTGGAAGGGCTATGAAACCACAGACTGGGGGGCTCCATCCTAGAGGCTCTGATCGAGTCCTCCCCAGACGATGTTGGTACTGTTGGTCTAGGAACCACACCTGAAGGACCACAAATCTAGGACACTTGGGAAGTGGCTTCCAGTGCATTGCCTTTCAAAGTATACCTCACTACCTCCTTTTATTTGAAGAGAGAAATAATTAGTGATAATGGCATCAAGAACAAAGTCTGCTTTGTAGAACTCTGTTATCCTTATCTAATGTGCCATAACTCCCAACTATTGCTGTTGACCTAACTATGTAATATATAAATCAATAAAAACCTCAGCACCTTGTTATATGCTGTTGTCTGTAGCCTTAGTTTTTTCTCATGTAGAAGACTATTAATACCTACCTCATTGTTACAGGGTTGTTTAATAGAATAACGTATGTAAAAATCCAACACAGTACTTGACACAAAATGTTACCTAAATAATCTCACGATTTTTGGCAAAAAAAAAAAAAAAAAAATTATTTTAAAAATCATAGCTTATTACTGTTTTCCTCCCATATATTTTGGCAAAAACTCACTTTAGCAAAAAACTACTTACCATGGAATTATTTTTTACAGATTTGTATGTTTTCATATCTGGAATGGTTTTCTCAAAAAGTGCTAAAAGCCACTTTTTGGATTTTGACCAGTTTCTAGGCAAGAAAAAAAACGTGCATAAATTAATTTGAAAGCACATCAGGAGTAATAGGTCATAGCATTAAAGGGGGTATATCTATGGAATTATAATTATTTCTCCAAATTTCTTCTTTAAGTTTCCTAGAATTTCATGCGAGGTCTACCTTCAGACTTACTAGATCACAAGGAAAATGGAGTGGGCAAGGCAGCCACATCTTAGTAGGGGTTTTGCAACAAATGTTTGAATCCCTATAGGATTGGCATTGAATAAAAAACAAAAACAAGCAAAAAAAAACAGAGCCCATGACCTGATTATTCTACTTTTACTCTGGCTGTTAGCAGTGGCTGGAGGATGAGAAACTAGCACAAGGACCCAGTGCTGGCTTAAGCCAGGTAAAGCCAACTGGCTACAATCTTTTTCATACTTTCTGACCAGTCACCACTATAAACCAACTGCCAAGACATTTAAAAACTCATGTGTTATTTTGCATTCGAACCACTGAGCCAACTGTGAAAAATACATTTGGCCATACCTCCTTGTGCCTCAGGGAGAATAAGGTCAACCATGTCAGACTCTAAGACTGGTCATGCCTGATGATTTAGCAGAGTTCCAAAGTATAGCAATGAATGTGATCATAATAACAGTAAATAGGATAAAAGGCCTCAAAACAAACTCTTTGTTTCATTCTCGTATCTTTTCTCTGGCTCTCTCTCTCTCCCTGTATCATTTTTGCTCCTCAAAATAAGGAAAAAAAAAAAAAAAAAGGAAATAATGCATCTCTCTTCTTCAGTTCCTCCATCAAGTCACCCACACACCAAAAACAAATTCGTCTTAAAAAGTAGCTCCTGGGGGTGCCTGGGTGGCTCAGTGTGTTGAGCCTCTGCCTTCGGCTCGGGTCACGATCTCAGGGTCCTGGGATCGAGCCCCGCATTGGACTCTCTGCTCAGCGGGGAGCCTGCTTCCCCCCCTCTCTCTGCCTGCCTCTCTGCCTACTTGTGAGCCCTTTCTGTCAAATAAACAAATAAAATCTTTAAAAAAAAAAAAAAAGTAGCTCCTGTCTCTTCCTCGTAGATGCTGCTCTCTGTACTGAGAACAGGGAAATTGCTGGGAGGAGCTTGGTCAGTGACTTAATTGTAGGGAAGAGCTCCCTACCTTAGGAGACATTCTGGCATCTGGGACCCGTACTCAAAACCTTCATCATAAGCTTGAAAATGCTGATAGAACTCCCTGATTTTTCTCTCGTCTGTGGGAAACAAGTCTTTTTTAAAGAGTATATTCATTGTGACTGGATAAAGGAGATGCCTACAAAGAAAAACAGATAGAAAGTCAGACCCAATGACCAAAGAAGAAAGGCAAAAGAAACAAAAAAAGGACATTATTTAGTAGCTATATATTAGGGGTAGATAATAATATGCAACAGATTCTTTTGGGAAAGAATCAGTTTCAAAAGGTTTTAATATTTGTTTACTGTGGTCAAGATAACTTAGGGGTAACTGAAATTTTGGTTCATTTATCTGAAGGTTTTAAAAGGCTTTCTAAGCAATCGTTGTTAGATCCTGATAAATGTGAGATCATGTGTAGAAATAAATTGATTCAATATAATTTCAACAAGTTCTTATTTAGTAAATAATAGCAATAACTAAGATATAGTCCATGACTTTAGACAGCAGCAAAAGAGAGCCAAAAAATCAGGGCAACACTGGTTACCAAATTCCCAAGCTCTCATAGGATCCTACAGATTTAAACTACTACCCATTGGAGTATAATGCTTATCACCATAAGTGAATAAAAATAATTACTGTGGCATAATAAAGAAATGAATATCAAAGATTGTTAATACAACCTAGATTAGTAACACTAAGTACTGTTTGTTTCAGTTTTATTTGCCATCTCTTCCTCACTAGAAATTTTTCAGGATCTCCTTCCCCCCAAAGTTTCAAGATATCCAAGAATTTGCTTGGTTTCGTTGTAGATACTGGGCATGCTAAAAGTTTAGTCAGTTGCTTGCCTTTTTTTGTTGTTGTTGTTTTCTTCTCTCTCTCTTTCTGGACCTCTAACAAAATATTAACTGTTATTCTTTTTTATGAGTCTGAACTACTGAATCCTGCCTTCAGCATCCCAGTATCCCACTGAGATGGAAAGTGCTTAATAGGTAACTTCAATTGAACAAATCTCCTTACACACATGAAGAATTTTTCTCACAGCTCCTAGGCCCAGCCCTTACCTTTGCCAGAAAGCTTCAGAACATGGCTGAGGTCACTTGATTCCCTCCAGTGCCCTTCCCTGTCTCACCTGTCTCTCAGCATTCCCTCTAGGTAGGTATGTTCTACATGGCATGGAATGGCTGAGGAGAAATTACTGTAAATGTATTAAAATGATCATATTGGCTCACCTTAAAATCGGAGTGCTAATGAAAAATTGTCCATTAATTAAGATGTAAAAGATTAATAAAATCTCTTAAATTACCAGTTAGATCGACTTCATTAATCAACCAGATAATTTTTAAAGTTCAGTGTGCAGGATTCCAAGTTTTTTATTCCAAAAAACCCCCCAAACCAAAAAAACCAACAAGCTCGAACACTACTAATGCATGTACTTTACCTTACTAAGTTGTTCAGCTCCATTGTCCCATGAGTGCCCAAGTTCTCCAGTTGCTCATGTAATTCTTCAGTCAGTTGTCCGGTGAGTTGATACAGGTTGAAAGTCCCTAGTTTCCCTTTCATCATGATATAAAGTTTTTCATGCAGTGTTAAAAAAGTATTCTTTGGAATTGATGCTAAAAACAGAGAAAACTATTTTTAACAGAAGCAACAATTCCTTGAAGCAAACAGTCAATGTACCTCTACTATTACTTGGCCACAGGGACTGCAGCCAAAGCCTTCCCAGTACATAAAATTACCTCCTGCAAGTAAAAGGAGGTGAAGATTCAACCTATCCCATGAAACTGTAAGAGTCTGTAGGGAAATTCACGTTTGGGGGTGATCTACAAATGGGTGACTAGGAGGGCCTCTGGGAAACACAAATCTGGGGATTTTTATTTGCACGTTAAAAAGCTTTCATTGGCTTTCTACATTTAACAAAGTTTACAAAAGGCCTTCTACCATCTTTCTAGTTTTCCAGTAACATTTCCAGGCCCTTCTCCCCCCAGATTTGTATGCCAGGTACAGTGTGGTATTTCCGTTATTTATATTTATATTTTCCAGCATTTTTATTAGATGTTCTAGCTGCGCAAAACACTCTCTCCTTGACCAGCCTCACCCCATCCCCACACACCCACAGCTACAAGCCACACGTTTCTCCTGCCAACTTCTATTTCTCCTTCAAGTGTCTACACTTCCTTACCCCATGAATAGCTTTGGCTCCACTACTTCCTTTGTATTAGTGCTCATGTTTCTTCCATGATACACACCTCCTGCTTGAGTTTGTCTAGCAAGAGTATGAGTTTTTAAACTCATTATTCTTTTATATTTTTCTTTAATCCCGTTTTATTGTCTGTAAGGTAGCTTTTTCAAAAAAATAGTTTTTAGTTTTCTATTTCATCAGCGTATTATGTATTTTATTATTAATTAAAAATAATGTTTCAATTTCCTGAGCACAGATCTTTTCTGTACTAGAGGAATAGGAAGCTGGCTCAAGAGCACATCTTAACATATTTTGTCTATTAAATAGAAATATTTAAACATCAAAGTCCCCAGAGGTGGCACATGTGAAAAAACTTGATCACTTCCATGCACACCTGATTGGTGAGTAAGTTGGTATGTTTTTCTGGAGGGATATGTGAACTTACAGATTCAGAGCCTTCAAACTTCAAAATATTTATTTTCTTTGATCAGGAATCCCATAGTTTAAGTACCGAGAAGCACTCAATAGTCAAAGAATTTAACCAACATGTTGTGATCTTCATGTGGGCAAGAAGAAACAACCATCATGTTCTTGGTCACTGGCAGCTTCTAAATTTTTTGTTTTTGTTTTTGTTTTTGTTTAATGGCAAGAGATGCATGAGAGGCTACATGAAGAGGAACCTAAGAAAGAAGCCAAAAAGGAAACCAAGAGAAGGAAGCTCATAGACAACAGAAGCAAGCACAGACATTACGGAAGCAGAGAAAAGAATGAGGCACCAAAACGAAACAGCTCCCCCTTCCTGGGAGGACGAGTGGCCTCAGCACCTCATATCTGTAGCCTGGGAAGAAATCAAGTGGGCAGTCACACCGGAAGCATGCTGAGAAGTACAATCCAGAAGTCTCTGAGGAGGGAAAGCAAAAGGCCACGGATTACACGAGGCCAAGCCCCACTTACCTTAATAGCCCTAGGAATGTGTCAGGAAATGCCACAGTAAAGGGTGCATTAAACAGTAGAATTTCAGTGAGCAGAGTAGCAACATGTGATCAAGCCAAGAGATATAGCCTGTGGAACATTGTCTACACAGCAGCAAAACAGAGTGAAGGACATCCTGGGAGCTGTAACAGGATACAGATTCCAAATATTTTCCAAAGTAAACAACAGTGGGGTAACCTCATCTCTTACCCACATCTAATTAAAACTTATGTGAGGCTGCCAATAATTTGTTTTTCAATGACCAAACTCATCAGATATTCTTTCTACCTTCTGTCCTGATTTTAAAGTATAAAATAAGGAAGGGGCCATCAACATTCTTGATAGAGGAGTGAGGATATAATTGTTAACAAAGCTACTCTTGGACTCCAAAGTTGTATTTCAAACGAACTATCTGAAAATATTCTTTACCTGTACGATAGACGGGATTTTGCACTGCTAGCTCAAAATTTACTTCTTTGGATTTTAGAAACACATTAATTCCCTCTTCTTCAGTAACAAAGGTCATTCGGGTGCCCATAATGAAGACTGTAAATACTGGTCCATACTGAAAGATAACACAAATATAGATATTAATAAGGATTTCTAATAAGTTACTGCATCATGGGTTATGCAAGAACCCTAATGCTGAAGTTATAGCCAAGATAAAAATTATTATGATTATATATGTAATTAATTATAAATTTTGCTAGATTAAGACAAATCTAAATTAGACAAATCATAATTTATTCTATCCTAATACTTAACCTTCATTTTGATCATTGTTTGAAATTTCTTTTCTTATAGTATGACATAATAATTAGAAATAATTACTAAGGGGTGCCTGGGTGGCTCAGTGGGTTAAGCCTCTGCCTTCTGCTCAGTTCATGATCTCAGGGTCCTGGGATCAAGCCCTGCATTGGGCTCTCTGATCAGCAGGGAGCCTCCTTCCCCCTCTCTCTCTGCCTGCCGCTCTGCCTACTTGTGATCTCTGTCAAATAAATAAATAAAATCTTTTTAAAAAACAAAAGAATTACTTGAAATTATGTCAAACAGTGATATTTAAACATTGTTTTCCAGATATCAGTGTGCTTACGAGTAACCTCTACTCAGTTTTGTCCAAGAAAAAGATTCAAAACAGCTGACTTAAATCTGTGGTCACTCAACGATGTCCTGCAATCCTGAAAAGTTTTCTAATGTGCTCACTTTCCAAAATTACTATTTCCCCTGGATACCTACCCAACCCTTTCCACTCTGAGGTACTGTTCCTGCTTTGTAACTTACTAGGAAACTCGAGGCAATCAAGTAAGAGCACTCACAACTTTTCACCACCAAATCTTGCAAAGATACACATTTGTACCCATTCTCTATGCCTCCCCTCGGGTTAGTAGGAATGGGAGGTCCTGCCCCTGTAAAATGCAAGTGCTCCCTCACTTATGTTATGGATTCTACACTCTTACCTTCTCTTCATTCTACGTCAATGCTTCTGTCATCCACATCTTCAGTTCTGCCCTCTATCAGATCACTAGCAGCCTACAAACCTACACTAGCCCTGAGTTTGATTTCAGGAAGTCCGTGATTTTGTTGGGAGCTTCACTACTGGGTGGAGACCACCCTCCCAGGGCTAGCCAATTCTTGGAGAGAGCAGAGGGCTCAACCTGCCAGAAACATACCTTTCACATGTAAACCAACCAATCCTGAGTCTCTGCCCATCTACTTCCTTATCTAATGCTCACACACCAATATTTTCCCTGCCTGAAATCATCCCAAGGCCAGTAGCCGGCAACCAGAAACCACCCATATAGCCCAAAGCTGACCAGAATTATTCAAAGTAGCCAATCCTAAATTGTTTTCCCTGCCCTGCTTTGCCTTTCCTGAGGAAGCCCCAATAAAGGCTCAGCCACAGACTTTTCTCTGGTATTATCTTGGGCCTCCTGATGGATACCAATGCTTTTCCCTGTGGTCCTGCATGGCCTACAGCAGCCCCTCTTTTGGACACCCCTCAGACACATGGGTATAATAAACATCTTCCTTCCAAACCCTCCTTCTCATTTCCTCCTGTGGCGGCACTGACTTTATAATACCACAATACATACCACATATACATTCTTGCAGCAATCACCCATACTTTCATACCCCATTATAGTTACTATAGTTACTGTAAGTATTTCAAAATATTATGCTTGTCACTACCCCAATACTGCAATCATTTCTAGGCAACCCTGAAATGGCATGTGATCATTCCTACAACACACTGTTGGGTGCTATCAGGCAACTGTGGGCATGAAAAACATGAAGCCACCAAACAGTGAAGTCTCTTTTTCTTACACTGGTAATCCAGTGTTTTTTTTTTTTTTTTTTTTGAGAGTTTTTTTTTTTTAGAGTTCTGTTTATTAATTTATTTATTTGAGACAGAGAACGAGAGAGAAAGAGAGCATGAGAGAGGGGAGGGTCAGAGGGAGAAGCAGACCCCCTGCTGGAAACCCAATGTGGGACTCTATCCTGGGACTTCTGGATCATGACCTGGCTTAACCATCTGAGTCACCCAGGTGCCCTGACTTTCCAGTATTCCTTATCTACAATTACTTGTTAATCAATATTTAGAAGAATATGAATAATTTCCATTGTTTTGTACAAATGAGAATTCTTAACTTCCCATTAGGAGAGTGGCCCACGTAACACTTATAGGTACCCAGGCCACAGTGTAGAACAGCCAAGTTCAAACACATTGAAGAATTGACCTAACTACTGCTGCATGGTATTTAAAATAACTTACTGCAAAACTGCACTGTACAAATGATCATGTCTGATGTTATAAATTCTGTGGCAGTGGGGGTGTTTGTGTTTCTATCTTATTTGCTTTGCTTTTGTTCTACTTCTTTGTGCAATGTCTGGATGTTATGAAGCAAAGGCCAGAGTACACAGTATGTTGTAGTCGTGGTGCCTGTGTGTTTGTTCATGTACATTTTATTCTAAGATAATGATAGAGTAACATGCAGTTATAAGAAATAATACAGAACAAACCCAAGTACACATTTCTCTGTTTCCCCTAGTGTTAACAGACTGCAAAACTATTAAATGGTATCACAACCAGGCCACAGTGCACAAGTTAAGGTATAGAAAATATCCATCACCATGAAGATGCCTCAAGTTACCTTTTTATAGTCACACCCATTTTCCTCTCACCCCCACCTCTTCCATTACCCTTGACAACTACTAACCCGTTCTCCAGTTCTATAATGCTGAATTTCAGGAATGGTATAAAAATAGAATCAAATCGTGTACAAATAGAAGAGGAAAAGATGAATAGTTTGGAAAGTGGAAACTTCGCGGGTTGGCTTTTTTTCACTTGGCATAAACCTCTGAGATCAGCCCCGGTTGTGGTATGCATCAATAATTCATTCTTTTACATTTCTGGTAGTATTCCACAGTATGGATGCACTACAGCGTGTTTAAACATGGTTGAAGTATCTTTGTGTTCTTTTCAGGTTGGGACCATTACAGATAAATTTGCTACAAACACTAATGCACAGGTTTTTGTGTGAATGCATGTTTTCATTTCTGGAGACTAAATGCCCAGAAGTGAAATTGCTGGGTCAGATGGCAGCTACATATTTCCTTAAAGAACTGCCCAAGCAATGGCCATGGTCGCCAAACTGTGGAAAGAACCAAGATGCCCTTTAACGGATGAATGGATAAGGAAGATGTGGTCCATATACACTATGGAGTATTATGCCTCCATTAGAAAGGATGAATACCCAACTTTTGTAGCAACATGGACGGGACTGGAAGAGATTATGCTGAGTGAAATAAGTCAAGCAGAGAGAGTCAATTATCATATGGTTTCACTTATTTGTGGAGCATAACAAATAGCATGGAGGACAAGGGGAGATGGAGAGGAGAAGGGAGTTGAGGGAAATTGGAAGGAGAGGTGAACCATGAGAGACTATGGACTCTGAAAAACAATCTGAAGGTTTTGAAGGGGCGGGGGGTGGGAGGTTGGGGGAACCAGGTGATGGGTATTAGAGAGGGCACGGATTGCATGGAGCACTGGGTGTGGTGCAAAAACAATGAATACTGTTATGCTGAAAAGAAATAAAAATAAAAAATAAATAAAAAATAAATAAAATAAAGAACTGCCCAAGTGCTTTCCAGAGTAGCTGTACTATTTCCTCTAGTGATCCCGTTTCTCTCTATCCGTACTAGCATCTGAGTGCTGTCACTTTTTTTTATTGGGCCATTCTGATAGGTGTGTAGTCTTATCTCATTGTGGTATTCATTTGCATATCCTCAACTGGCTCATGAAGTTGAACACTTTTCCATGTGTTTATTTGCCAGCTTTATGCTCTCTTCAGCAACTTATTCATGTCATTTGCCATTTCTTTAGTTAACTTGTTGAGTTTTTTTACATGTTGAGTGTGGAGAGTTCTTTATATATTCTAGATAGCAGTCTCTTATTGGATATGTGGCTTGCAGATATTTTCTCTCCATCTATAGCTTGTCTTCCCAGTCTCCTAACAGGTTCTTTATTTCACAGAGCAAAAGCTTGTAATTTTCATGAGGTCCAATTTGTCAGGATTGTTTTTATGGATTTTTGGTGTCCAGTCTAAAAACTATTCTTCAGCCCCAGATTAAGAAGATATTCTCCTTATTTTTTTTTAAAGTTTTATAGTGTTACATTTAACATAAAAGTCAATGATCTGTTTTGAGTTAATTTTTATATATGATGCAAGACTTAGGTCAAGGTTCATTTTGTTTTTGTTTTGTTTTGGCTTATTGGTGTCTAACTGGTTCACTGCCATTTGTTGAAAAGGTTATCTTTATTTCAATAAATTACTTTTGCACATTTGTCTAAAATCAATTGGACATTTAGTGTGTGTATTTCTGGGTTCTCAAGTCTTTTTCATCGATCCCTGTATCTATCCCTCCACTTGCATAATCTTGATTACTGTAGCTATATAATGAGTCTTGAAATTGAGTACAATGACTCTTCCCATTTTATTCTTTTAAGACTTGTTTTAGCTATTCTAGTTCATTTGCCTTTACATATACATTATTGAATAATCTTGTCTATATCTATCCTTTATCAGAAATTTGATAGAATTTGCATTAAACTTGTGTATCAATTTAGGGAGAATTGACATATTTACTATGTTGAGTTTTCCAATCCATGAACATGGTATGTTTCTTCATTAAGTTCTTCTTTTTATCAAGGTTTTCTAGTTTTCATCATGAAGTTCTATACACATTCTATTAGATTTTTACCTAAATATTTCTTTCTCTTTTTGAGTGACTATAAATGGTATTGTATTTTTAACTACTACTTGCAAATGCTCATTGTTAGTATGTTGCGATATAATTGTTTTTTTTCCGTTGAGTTTATATTCTGTGACCTTGTTGAATTTACTGATTAACTTCAGGAGATTTGTTGTAGATTCCTTGAGATTTTCTAAGTAAACAATCACATCATCTGCAAATAGAGAAAGTATTATTTGTTCCTTTCCATATGATCTTTTTTCTTGCTTAATTGCATTCACCAGAACTTCCAGCATTATGTGGAATAAGCAG